TGGAGAGTTTAAGATATAGTAGAGTGAGCTGAAAATGTTATCACACCTCTAACCGGGATCAGCGTTCTTCCCGTGGAGGGAACTATCTTTGTTTGGGGAAATACTTTATTGAGTACCTTGGAGTTGAACTTGAGATATTGGCGGGAGCTCAAGTGAATGAATTAGCAGGCCTGGCTCCTGGCCACCTCTCTGACCTCATCTCACACCACGTTCACTCTCCCTAACTCCACGCCAGTTACAGGAGTAACTGTGGCTCCACCACAGGGCCTTAGAACCTGCCCTTTGCCTTGTCTGGAAGGCTCTTCAGTATGATATCTGCTGACTCACATCCTCACTTCCTTCCTTCCAGTTTTGGCTTAAATGCCACCTTCTCCGGAGAACTTCCCCAACCAGCCTCGAGGACGCAGCCTGGCTACAGGGAGTAGCTGTGGAGTAGAATAGGTGCTCAGTCACTGTTTGCAGAATGAATGAAGAAAAGTTAAAGCTCTTGGCTTGAGAAAATAGAGGAGTTTGATTCTTGCTCTTGAAAGGGAGGGGGCGAGGAGAGTGAGGAGGGCAGAGAAGGGAACGGGTGGAGCAGGTAGGATGAGGAAGCCAGGCTGGGATGCTGGGACGTGCATGAGAGGGGTGGGTGAGGGACACTTGATGAAGAGAGACACCTAGCCTTGAACTGAAGGTACTTTGTTAGTTCACTCCCTACATTTTCAGTAAAGCCTACTGTGGGCACCAGTGCTTTGTGCAAGTTGTGTGTGTGTGAGTGTGTGCGTTTGTGCGTGGGTCCCAGCAGAACAGAGCAGAGGTGGGATGTGAGGAGTGAGGACCTGGAGTAGAGGGACAATGGAGGACCTGGCGGTTGGTGGGCATTGTGGGGCTTCCACAGGGATTTGAGCTAATCTCATTCAGATCCACGGGGCAGGGAGGACCTAAGTGGCCTCTCCGTTATATGGTGGCCTTGTTTACAGTGAGCAAAGGATAACAGGTCAGAGCACCCACATGGGGTCACATGGGCATGAGACAAGGAGGCACGATTCTGGCTCTTTCTCGACTTCCGGTTGTTAAATCGTGGCCAAATGTTTCCCCCTCTTTGGCTTTAGCTTTTCATTTGTAAAATCAAGACTTTGGACCACATATGATCTTTAAGCTTTTTTCAGCTTTAACGCTCAATTTTTAGAGTTTAAAAATTTTTCATTTTTATTAATTTTTAAAATTGAAGTATAGTTGATTTATAATGTGTTAATTTCTGGTGTACAACAGAGTGATCAGTTACACACATATATGTCTTCCTTTTTGCATTCTTTTTCATTATAGGTTATTTCAAGATACTGAATATAGCTCCCTGTGCTATATAGTAGGACCTTGTTGTTTATCTATTTTATATGTAATAGTTAGTATCTGCATTTTTAATTAATTTTTGTAAGTCTCAGTTTCCTGGAATATTGGGGAAATAGCTCTCCTTGAGAATTTTTATGATGATCAATTGAAATCATATTTGGAAATGGACTTTGCAAACTGTAAAGTCCTCTGAAAATGTTAGTTCTCATTTCCCCTATTGTGATAATGTCAAGATAGAGGGTTAATATATAATGAGAAGACGATGTTTGAAATTATTATTTCCAAACTGAAACTGATTGCGTTTGAGCCATGCTGTTTTCTGAAATGTAGTGAAAAGTGCACAGAGTCGACTCAGAACGGATAGGATGCTTGCCCAAAGACTGGCGAGATTATCCTCCCAGGGCGGGAGGGGGCAGGACGGTGGCTGACATGCAATTAATAATTCAGATAGGCACAGGGTGTTACTCTGCAGGGCACCCTGCCCCCTGGTAACTCATCAATAAAATATTGGGTTCAGTTGGGCAGAGTCCACAGCTAATCAGAGAGCAATGTTCTCACTTGGAAATGCTGGTTGGCATGGGAGCCAGAGTGTCAGAAGAGCCTGTGGGTCTGGAATAAAAATGTCACTGAAGGAAATGAGTTTCCAACACCCCTTCTCTTACTGCCTCCAAAAGGACAGCCTTGAAATCTGGATCAGCAGGGTTACTGTGGCCCTGGGAAAATTCTACCCAAGGGGGAGCTCTTGAGAGCTGTCTCGCTGGCCACCCCCCTCCCTCCCAGCATGCTCGCCACCTCCATCCCGGGAGTGGTCCAGACCCGCTGACTCAGGGTTGACTTTCCAAGGATCCAGTGAAAACTTTTGCAGCCCCTTAAGGAAACCCACATGTTTTACTTTTGCTTAAATATCATTTTTCATTCTTAAAGTAACACCTACTCATTAAAAAAGTTTTGCAAATATAGTCAGATAAAATGGTGTAAAGACAAGGAAAAGTTGCAAATGTCTACTATTTCGATAAAATCTCTATGTGTTTTATAAGAACAAGAAGAAGCAAGGTTGGAGGGCAGCGGAGGCCAAGCTAAGGGTTTTAGACGCATCATTGTCCGTGTCTTCCCGGCAGCCTTACCTGGTGGGGAGGCTTGAAAATCTTGTAACTGCACTCCCAAACCCCAAACGGTCTAAAACCTGAAGTTTGTTTTATAACTAATTTGGGAGCTGACCATGACTTGAAATAAGTCCTATTTACAGACTTCAGTTACGCTACTTAGCGTGAATATTCATGTATTGTTACATTACTAACGGGCTTAATTACCGAGCGCCGCTTCAGAGCCCTCTGGGGAGGTTTCCTAGGATGTGGTACGTTAACCGTAGTTCTCAAATCTGAAAACTTCAAAATCTCCAGTCACGGTGGCTTCCTTTATTATCTCCACGTGGCAGGTGAAGAACTGAGGTGCAGTTTCTGCCTCTTGCCCGACGTCTAACAGCTGAGAAGTGGTAGAGACAGGATTCCAACCAAGGTCTGTGCACCCCAAGAAGCTGCCCTATAACTCCCAGCCCCACGATCCCGGACTTTCCTGTATCCCCGCCCCCCCCCCAGAAGGATAACGGTTGTTTGACCCCCTGGGGGAAGAGGAAGAGGCCGTTTGGGACCAGGGCAAGTGGCCCCAGGCTACCCTGACCATGGCCGCACTTCCAGAATTCTGTAGTCCTCATCCATTTACACCGCCTGCAGCCCCAGGGCGGGGAGCCTGCTCGGACTTCTAACTTTCATTTAAAGAATATTGACTATTCACCCATCACAGGGCTAGACAGCAGCGCTTAAGGGCAGGACTCCAGACCAGACCACCTGGACTTGCATCCTAGATCCACAGCTTTCTGGTTGTAAGACCTTTCCAGGGCGAGTTGCTCAAGCTCTCTGTGCCTCAGTTCCCTCTTCTGTGAAATGGGAACGGTAATACAGTTCTCATTTCCAATGGAGAGCAGCTGCACTCACATGGTCTCTGAAGCAGGAAGGAAGCAGTGGAGCTAGTGGGGGGCATTTCCGAGCTCAAGATGATCCGCCTGATTTTACGGGATGGCGGATGGGAAGGTAGCAGCCCTTCAAATCCAGCCCTTGGACAGATGCCGAAGTAGACACAGCCCCCTCTCTGCACTGGGTGCTTCTCTGGATCGTGGTGGAGGGCGTGTGTCTCACCTCCAGCAGGTATTTCCTTGAGAGTATCTTCTGTGGATTCATTACCTGGAGCTAAGTTCCTTTCACATGAGCTGTTAAGAGTCAAGAATTTAGATCGTGACTGGGGTTTCAGACTTCTTCCATTACTGAACTTTGTCCGTCCCTCCAACCCAGAACTTACCCTCGTAGCTTAGTGTTTGCAAACATGGGCGTAGACGGGTGTAGATTCTTATGGAAGAGACAATACTTCTCATGACAGTTCATTATCCTTTCGGTGGTGAACACGGGAAGCCTCCGTCCCCTAACTTCCTGTGCGGTGAGGAGGGCCAGTGACTGAGTTCTGGCTGAGGACAGAGCAATAATGTATGCGACTCCCTGGAGCCCAAGACCTTCTGAGTGACTCCCATTCCTGTCCCTCTCTTCTCTTCTCTGGCTGCATGTAGAGGATCAAGCAGAGGACCCCGAGTCTTACGTGGAGGGAGTTTAAGTCCCCAAATCGTCGCTGGAAGGCGCCTGTTGCACATCCAATAGGACATAACCGAGAGCTAAATCTCTTGTTTTGTTTTAGCTGCTGACAGTGGGTGTTGCTTGTTCTAGCACTCAGCTTTTATGGAGCAACACTGTCCTAAGCCTAATTCTATAATTACCTGTATGATCTTGGGCAAATCCTTTAATTTTTCTGGGCTTTCTCACCCGTAGGAAATGTTCCTGGCAGTCGCTAAGGTCAGAAGAGGAGAGCTTAGCATGCAGTCTTCCCAGGAAACAGCGCGCTGGCCTGAACCGGCTTGTCCGCCTGCTGACTTTCTAACTGTGCCTCCAACAGAACAAGTGGGCTCGGACCCACCTCAGGGCTTTTGCACGTGCTGTTCCTCCCGCTTGGGCCACTTTCCTCCCAGGTTCTGTGGGTTGCCTCTTTCATCATTTAGGGCTAGTCTTTAGCATCATGTCCTCAAAGGTGCCTTTCCTGGTGACTCCAGCTCAATCAGCATCCCTGACCTCCAGTTCTTTCCCTACTGTCCTACCTAATTTTTTTTTTACTGCAACTATTATTACCTGAAAGTAGACTATTTATGTATTGGTTTATAGGAATTTCATCCATTATCTCTACCATGAATATTAGCTCTATGAGGACGAGACTTTTGCCAGGATTTCTCTGGAGCCCAGGGAAGCACAGGCACACTGGAGTTGCTCCATGCGTCCTGGTGAATGAATGGACAAGGTATTGTGAGAGTTCTGACACCATTATGTGGAGAGTTTGCTGTTAGGCTGGGCACATGACGTGCGCTCAATAAATGGTAGCTCTTGTTGCTCCCACTGTATTGAGTCCCTCTTTCACACTCAACTGTGAGTTTCCCAAGGTCAAGGACTGGGGCTTATTTAGCTCTGCTTCCCAGTAAACCTCCTACATATAAGAGATGATCCATCAACGTCTGTGATGGAAGAGAAACGCAAATCGTGGCTTCCGTCTAGTGCACCCAAAGACCAACGAAACCATCCTTGTTCTAAAAAAAATTAAACCTTTTTATTAGTATATTTATTTCATATATAAAAGAAATACAAAAAAAGAAACACAAAGAAAATGCTTTTATGGCAACTCGGACTTGTCGGCGCCTTCGGCCTGGGCCCCCGGCTCCGGCCCGCTGGGCGTCAGCAAAGTCCGCCGGTTGTAATGGGCCTTGATGATGCCTGTGTTGTTGTTCTCGTTCAGGAGCTGCTTCTGCCTCTGCCTGTTGAGGGACTGGACGAGGCCCAGGACCACCGCGGCCAAGGAGTACTGCCCGGGCAGTCTTCTCGGGGGCAGGATGAATGGGTTGGGTTGGACTCTTCCCAGGAGAAAGTACGTTTTGATTTTTCCTTCCTGCTCGCTGATGCCCTTCACGTAGATCTCCCCGCGGTAGTCGAAGGCAAAGCCCTGGTCCTTCAGGATGAGATAGGTCTCCTCTGGGACCTGGATCCGGCCGCTGACCCCCGTGCTGTCCATCCGACTTGCCAGGTTCACGGTCTTGCCCCAAATGTCGTACTGTGGCTTCTTAGCGCCGATAACGCCAGCGACCACTGAGCCGTGGCTGATGCCTGTGAGTGGACCAAAGGAGCAAGAGATGAGAGAAGAAGGGCGTCACGGAGGAGCCTGCCTCCCTGCCTGGGATAGGGACGCTTCAATTAAGGATGTGGTCTCTGCGGGTAGATTGCAGGGTCCAGACCCGGCCTCAGCCACTCATTAGATGTGTGACCTGGGTCAGTTACTTAACAGATTTGGACCTCAATTTTCCTATCTGTAGACTGGAGATGATTAAAGGAGGATGAGATGAGATGGTGTAGGTAAAGCCATTGGTATATTGCCTGACAACCAGTGAGGGCTCGAGAGAAAACAGTTATTAATTTCATGTGGCTGCTGACTGGTCTCACCCCGTGGGATGAACAGGGCACTGGACCAGGGGGTCAGGCTGCTGGGATCTCCTCCTCCCTCTGCTGTTACCATGCCCTGAGAGCTTACATAGACTCCATGTCCTCAGCACCCCTTGGTCCATAGCAACAGCCTCCTAACAGGCCTCCCTGGATTTCTCATTCATTCCATAAACATTGACTAAGCACCTGCTATGAAACAGGCCCTGTTCCAGGCACTGGGGACACGGTGGGAAAGAAAAGAGACACAGCCCCAGCCCTTATGGGGCTTACCTTCTACTGGGGAGAAATAGGAAATAATAACAATTGTGACATAATATCAATAATGATAAAGGCAATGAAGAAAAATCAATCAGGTTAAAGGGATAGAGAAAGATGGGAGGGGGTGCATTTTGGAGGAACGTGGTTAGAAAAGGCTTTTCTGAGCAGAGATTTAGAGAAAGTGATGGTACAGGCCACGTGGGTATCTGGGTCGGATCGTTGTAGGCAGAGGGAAGAGTGAGACACACAGTCTCACACACACACTCACCCACGTATACATATATAACTGGCAATGACATTTGAGAAACAGACCTTGCAGAATGCATGGGAATCACGGGGTTGGACTTTGCCCCCGCATCTGTGGAGCCGTTTCATAGCCATTATCCCATGTGTCTCATCTTACGCTGTGAGGCAAGCAGGGGAGGTAATGATTTAATGCCCAAGTCACACTTGAGCAGACGGACACTCGGAGGGTTTCGGTGACTTGCCCACAGTCACAGAGCTGGTTACAGCAGGCCGCAGACACACAGTGAGATGCCCAGTCCCATTGGGGACATAATTTTCCAGACTCAGAACTAGGCCAGCAGTGTGACATATCACACCAAGGGCTGGCCCTGACACCAGCCACACCTCCTGAATTTACATAGAATACGCCTTTGTTCAGCGTTAAAGTTCAGGTTTTTATTCCTGGTTCAATCGTGTAGTCAGTGATTTCAGAAAGGACACACAGGGTCGATGGGAGATGTGGAAACAAGCCCTGAACATCCCATCCAAAGATCAGAACAGAAAATATCAATTCTTTATTCCAGTGAACAAAGGCGTGTGGCGTTCCTTAGATTTGACAAGTCAGATATTGATACTTCTTGACCCTTTAGACTTGAAAGCTGCTAAGGGAGGAAGAAAAAAAGTAAAATGGCACGCCAGCCAGGGGAAAGCTAAAACATGAGGACTGCAGACTACACGCCGGCTACCAGAACGTCCTTGGTCTCAGGAAGTCCTGGAGCTGCCTCCAGGATGACTGTTTGACTGTGTGATCTTAGGCTAGTCACTCCCCGTCCCTGGGCCTGAGTTTGCCCATCTATAAAATGAGAATGTGGACTGAGCATGGGCCTTCAGATCATGCTTTAGGAGGCCCCTCGGGCTCAGCAGAGATGCAGAAGAAATTAGCAAGTTGTACAAATTGTAAATGATGACCGTCACATCCTGTGCCTGTTGTGTTGTCGTTTTGCACCAGGACGTCCCTCGGGTCAAAGGAAGGGTAAGCTGTGTGGCCGAGTGAAGTGCTCTAAAGCTATCCGCCTGTCCCTGGCTCAACTCAACATCCAACATCCTCAGGAACAGAATCCTGCTTTTGGCTCCAGGCATCATCCAGAACAGAGAGCAACACGCTGACCTCCAGCATACGGTGACACAGGAGATGGAAGGAAACGATTGACTGGTCCTGATCAGCTACCTCTCCACTCAGGGCCCTGTGTGGGTGGGATGCTGGACAGATTGGAGGAGAGCAGCCGTGGTCTAGTGTTTGCTTTGTGTTTCTGCACACAGGCCAGAATCCTTCCATTGCTTCCAGCATCTTGAGTGTGAGGAAGGCCAGCCAGGCCTGAGCTGACCCAGTCCCTGTCCTTGGCCGGGTCACACTAAGCCTGCTGCTTTGTGCAGGAAAAATCTTCTCTGGCTTGGTGCCCAGGGACTGACGGAGCAAGACCAGCCAGCTCCGTGGGGCCCCGACGCGCCACACTTCCAGCTGCTACTCACCAATCCGGAGCTCGAAATTGTTGAAAGAGTGCTTGTTGATCTCCTGTATGCTTTCGGTCAGGGCGAGAGAGAAGTCGGCCAGGGCGCACAGATGCCCCCACTTGTCTTCACATTGCTGGAGCAAACGGGAGAGAGGGGCTCGTTCACGGGGGCGGACAGTACGCTTTCTGCAGCGGGGCCAGGGCTATCCCCCCCCTGCCCACGCGGCCCTTCCAGGGAAATAACCAGGGGGTGGGGTGAGCCCCTGGACACCCAAGTCATCAGTGTCCAGCAACTTAGGACACCAGGGGTGTGTGTGACTCATCACCTTCCACTCCTCACACCCACCGCTGTCTGTTCAGGTTGATGGGGTGTGTGTGTGTGTGTGTGCATGTGCGCACGTGTGTGTGTGTGTGTGTGTGTTTGTGTGTTTGTGTGTGTGTGTACGTGCTCCTCTGTTCCTATCTGTGATGTTTCCAATCTAGGAGCGGTGTCTATTTCCTTTGAAATACTCACAGTGTCTGTTTAAGGGATGTTTCACATAGACATGTGCTCGGAACCTCAGTCTCCTCATCTGTAAAATGGGGGACAAGCATCTCTGCCTGGCCTCCCTTACAGGGACCGAATGAGACTGTGTACGTGAAAGAACTCTGGGCCCCTGTAGAGCAGAAGTTGGCAGACAGTCTCAGTAAAGGGCCAGAGAGCAAGTATTTTAGGCTTTGTGGGCATGTGGTCTTTGTCATGACTGCCCAACTCTGCCATCTTAGCCAGAAAGCCGCCATAGACAAAATATAAATGGACGCGAGTGGCTGTGTTCCAGGAAAATTTTATTTGTGAAAACAGATGGCAGGCCGGATTTGGCCTGCAGCCTGTCTGTGTGCACCCCTGCTATAGAGGGCCGTGCACGTTCGCCCAGTGACTAGATGGGCTTCTTCTCAGACAGTTGATCTTGGAATCGTTCTAGGGTTTTAGTTGGAAAGAAAGCAAAGGAAGATGAGAAAGAAAGAGGATTCCTCTCCCTAGTAACTCAGACTCCTATCCTATTGACAGCATTTATTGAGGACCTACTAGGTGCACAGCTTTGTGTGTAGAGCATGACATGATCTCAGAGATTCATCCACTAGTGTCTGGCACACAGTCAGCTCTCCCAAAAGCCGAGCTATTATTATTATTACGTGCACTTTTGGAGGAGAAAGCAGAAGTAAGGGTAAGGAAACAGGCCGGTATCAGGGGCTGAGTAACACCCACAAGTAAATCACAGTCAGGGTAGTTCTTGGTCCTGATCTCGCTCAAGTGAACAGTGAGAATGAACAGTTCAGAATGAAGCCTAGAAGCTTCTCAATCATAAAGAAGCATCATTTCACCTGGAAGACCCTGCTTACCCCGGGAGCAGACGCACATCACACAACTAGCAAGGTCACGTCACCAAATTTTCTCCCTGTTGGTCTCCGAGTTCCCTGGTGATGACAGCCTCACCGCCATCAGCGACATGACCAGAGTGAGTCCCTGGCCTAGGCTGTGACAGAGGTTGTGACAAAGCATTCCTTTACCTGTTTGTCAGGTGACAGGCCAGACACAGCCATGTAGGTGCTGCCAATGGTCTTAATCTTCTCAATGTCTTGAAATCGGTCTTCACCGAGCAGCTGAAACAGATCCAGGCAGCATTTCAGTCCGATATTTATGCTTCCAGCGGCCTGGCGCTCTGGAAAGCAGGCCCCTGGCTCACAGCGAGGACTACCTCGGACTGGCTTAGCACCCTTGAGGTAGCCACTTTTGTCTCTGAGAATCAAGCATTCAGGCCATTAACATTTTTACTGAGCGCCTGCTAAGTGCCAGGTGCCGAGATGAGTGTGACCAGATACCCTTTAAGGAGCAGATCTGTTTCTCTGAATCTTTGAAATAGACAAAGCTATTTTGTTAGTTTAAAGAAGAAATCACAAATATTCCCAAATCCATCAACACAGCTTTTTGCTTGACTTTCAACAGGTATTTAAAATCTTATCATTTCTTGCCAGCACCCTGATCTAAACCATTAGCTGACATCTGGTTATTGTATCGCAATAACTTATCTCCTCCCAGCCCTTACCCCCGCACTCCCAGCATGGCAGCCAGAGCAATCCCGTTTAAATGGAAGCCAGAACATGTCCCTGCTCTGTGGCTTCCCATTCTACTCAGGGTCAAAGCCAGAGTCTTCACTGTGACCTGTAAGACCTGCCATGCCCTGTCCCCTTTGCTCCCTTTGCTCAAGCCGCACTGACCTCCTTGCCGATCCTAACAAGCCAGGCTTACTTCTGCCTCAGGACCTTTGCATGTGCTGTACCATTGTTGGGACAGTCTCCCCGCAGACATCAGTGTGGCTCATCCCTCCCCTCTTTCAGGTCTGTCCTCAAATGTCATCCCAGTGGGGTCTCACTGATGGCCCCCCCTAAACTGAACACAATACCCCTCCCCCCACATACATATTCCTGTCTTATTTCTGCCATATCTTCGCTCCTTAGCACTTATCCCTGACGGTGCTTATTGCCGTCTTTCCCACTAACATGTAAAATTCCCAGAGGGAGGAGTTTTTGCCTGTTGTATTTACTACTCAGCACTGAGACAGAGCCTAGCGCACAGCAGGGATGTGTGAGTAATGGAATGGAAGAATGGAGATCGTCCTTGACTTTTCCCCCATCCTCATTTGCAGTTTGGATTTTAAAGCTAAGGAAGGGAGACCCTGGTCTCTGATTTAGCAACTGTGGTAAGAGAACAGATGTCCATGTCCTAGTCCCCGAAATCTGTGGCTATGTGACCTTACATAGCAAAAAGGACTTTGCAGATGTGATTGAGTGAATGGTCTTGAGATGGGACCATTTTCTGGATTATCTGTGTGGGCCCTATGTGAGCACAAGGGCCCTTGTACGTGAGAGAGATGAAGGCAGGGGACAGAGAAGGAGACGTGCTGGAGGAAGCAGAAGTCAGAGTGATGTGATTGCTGGCTTTAAAGACAGAGAAACGGGCCACAAGCCGAGGATCAGGTGGCCTTTAGAAGCTGGAAAAGGCACAGAAAGCGTTCTCCCCTACGGCTTCCAGAAGGAACTCGGCCCTGCTGGTGCCTTGATTAGCCCCATGAGACCCATTTCAGACTTCTGACCTCCAACCTGCAAGATGATGAATTTCTGTTGTTTCAAACCACTGACTTTGTGGTAATCTGTCACAGAAACCAAAGGACGCTAATTCAACAAGTATTTCTTGAGCTTCTCCAATGTCTGATGAACAAGACATACGAGCTCCCAGCCTTCGCGGAGCCAACAGTCCAGGCAGCAGAGTCAGATATTAAACAAATAATCACACCAAAATGCGCCCTAGCTCCGTTTTAGTAAAGTTTATGATGGAGACATACAGGGAGTAGGACTGAGGAGAATGGACCATTTTGATGAAGTCTGGAGGGTCTGGGAAGGCTTCCCTGAGCAAGGAATTCCCAATTTCAGCTCTAAAGAGTGAGGCGGGGTTTTCTAGCAGTGAATATACAAGCTGGTGTGTTGAGAGGCTGGGGGCGTGGAAAGGGGTGGGAGGAGCATCCACCTGGCAGGACCAGCGGGGGAGAGGCTGGGAGGCGGGGGCGGATACACGGTAGGTCCAAGGAATTAAGAAGAGTCCTGCTGTTATTTCTCCCATCTTATGAAAGTCTTTCTGTGCACCAGTATTCCTTCCTTTTGCTGTAAGACTTCTCAAAGAGTCATCTCTACCCATTGCCTCCAGTTTTCTCATTCCCATTCTTTCCTAAACTCACTGCAGCCTGGCCTCTCCCCAGCCCCTCGTATGACTGAGACCACTCTTGTCTATGCCACCAGTGACTTCCCCATTGCCTGTCCACTGCCCAGTCCTCAGGCCTCACCTTGCTTGGCCCATGGGCAGCTTTTGACCAATTGTACCCCGTTCATTGTGATACCTTCTTAGTTTCTGCTCACTCAAGGTTTTACTTCCACTAAACTGGCCACTCTTTACCAGTCTCCTTTGCTAGTTCCCTGGTGAGAAGGAACTTATCACACAGCTCAGGACTTGGATCTCTTCTCTTTTTCATCTGAACTCACTCCCTTGGGGTCTCAGCATGTCCCATGGCTTTCTACACGATCTCTTTGCTGAAGACCCCAAAAGTATATATCCTCCCTTGACCCATCTACACAACGGCTGAGTGACACCCCCACTGCAGGCCTAACAGGCATCACCAATCTGCCCTTCCCAAAGCTACGGCTGCCTCTACCCACCTGCTGTCTTGACGAATGGTGTCTCCATTCTTCCAGCTGTGCTGGATAGAAACCTCACAACCCACAGCCCATCTGCTAGGAGATCCTCTGCTCCATCTTTGAAGATATTCAGATTCTGACTCCATCTCACTGCCTCTGCTGTACCGGTCTCACATCCACGAAGCCCCGCCTTGAGTGGAGGAGCCAGGCTCGAAACGGAAACCTCTCTGGGCCCCTAGTCTAAATTCTAGCCTCTTATCTCCTTATGTTGGCAGGTACTCAGATGTAAGCACCTGGTTCTCCAACTCTTTGCCTCTGCCTCAGATTGTAATGTCCTCAAGGGCTCATGCCATCCTGGGGGTGGCCAGACAGATGGACCAGACCAAAAAGAGGAGGAGAGTTTTTTTCTGTACACATCTCGATATAGGCAGCCTCTTAAAATTAATTGGGAGCTAAGAAAACTTGGAAAGTTTCAGCTGGAGAGAAACTCTTCCGGGAAATGTGGAAAACACAGGCCTGTGCTTTTGTGTGTGTGTGTGTGTGTGTGTGTGTGTGTGTTTGTGTGTGTGTAGCTTGGATTTGCAGTCGGGGCAGCTTTTGTTCATTGTTTTTGTTTCTCGAGCTAAAGTGAAGCCACTATTCTGAGATCCTATAAACTGTGCCCAGGGTGGAGAGTGGCTGGAACAGTCTGTGTCTTCAGCCCTGGACTGTGTCTGACACTTGTCTTTAGACACCATTAAACGGGCTTGGTCTCTTAGCAGCCCTTTGGCTGTGAGTATTTTAGCTCAGAGATTTTGGCATGCCTTTGGTCGCCCACCTCCCTCCCTCTGCGTCCTTACAACTGCGTGTCCCCAGATTCCTGCGGGAAGGGGGAGCCCTTCCTCCCTTCTCTTGGAACTGCTTGGCTAAGGGCCAGTTTCGGGCAAAGCTGCCTCCTCTTCAGAAGTTGAGTAGAAGGCAGAAAGAGACTTCATTATTTCATTCAATATCCACGCAGCAAATTTACCCACTATATAGCTAAGAGCGTCTGGAGGCACCACGGAGCTCCGAATCAGCCCCTTGATTAATTCTCCGGTCCGCATGGAGCACTGAGATGTGAGAGGGCTCTTTAGCCTTCCGCGAGGCAGGCCCTGGGGGCTGGGGGCTCCCTGGCGCTGGGTTACTGCAACCCCAGTCCTGGAGCGTGCGCTCCGTGCGATGCCCAGCCTTCCTCTGAGCCGGGAACGGATTCTGCGTGCCCGCAGCTTCCTGTGACGATGACGTCAGCAGGAGAGCAGCATCCTTACTAAAGGGTGTCTGCCTGGAGCTCAGGGCAGGGTCTAGAGGGTCTCTTTTGACCCAGAGAAAGAAGGCATGTCCGGGTGACACAAGGACCCGCGGGAGGACCTCTGACAGGGCTTGGGGTTGGGGAGCCAGGTTGTCTACATTCTTTTCCTTCTACCTCCTCCTCTGTCCCTTCTCTTCTCCTTCCTCCCCTTCTCCCTTCTTCTTTTTCTTCTTCCTTCTTATCGCTGTGTCTCCTCTCATCCTTCAGCTGCTCCCCATCTCTCCCTTTTCCTCCTCCTCCTGGTCTAAAGCCCAGCCTCTCCACCTTCCCTCTGCAAGCACCTACCTCTACCACTAGGGGCGCTGTCCCCATCTCTCTAGGGTATCTACAATTGGGGCCACCAAGACACAAATTAAGTTCAAATGCATTTACTTCAGTTTAAAACATGCTAGTGAGGACTTTTGGGAGATGGGGCACTGTAGAAGTTAAAATAAAACAAAGCCTTATGTCTCAATCTGCAGTCAGATTACTTTTAATAAAGCTACTTTTTTTTTTAATTTGGAAGTATATTTTGGGTTGCACTCGTCTATCACCACCTATTTGCCAGGTGGTTTCTGTCTCCTGTGAATTAATTAGTTAACTTGTCACTTTAGTAAGCGTCTGTTATAAGCATCTCTTATGTTGTGGGAGGCCCTGGGGACTTAACAGAATACACAAGAGTATAATTTCTATCTTCATGAGTTTACGGTTAGCAGGGGGGTGGGAATAAAGGTGCCATTCCCATGGAATCCCCCTCCACTCTCCACACTGAAGGCCCTCTGTACAAGGGTACTTACCCCTGACTCCCTGTGTAAAGGGAGCTCATAGTCCTTCTGTCTCTCATGGGACCCTGAAGCCATGGGAGACAAGAAGTGACTGTGTCTTACTTATCTTGACCCCCAAGCCCATTCCCAGGACAACTAAAATGGCCATTGTTGAGTTTAAGTCTTCAAAACCAGCGCCATAAAATGCCAGTTAAGTGAGGAGCGATGCACAAAACGATTAAAAGTCAAAACAGTATGGTGGGCCTGGGCTCAAGTCTCGGCTTTGCCACCTAGTGGGGGGTGAGGCCGGGGGTACTCGCGGTGTCTCTGAGTCTCAGCTGTGTTGGCTTAGAAAACGAAGGCTAACAATTCCTGTCCTGTGGACTTGGTGTGAGGCGTAAGTAACAACTAGCTGTTCTGTGTGGAAGGTGGCAACACGTGGTAAACACTTGTAGAGATGAGTAAGACAGGTCTCTGCCTGGAACTAGGTGGCACTTAGGAGAGGCGGGTCTGCCAGCTTAAGGGATTCAGGCTCTATGATGGAAGATTTTTCAAACTATAAGTTTTTCATTGAAAAAAAGGATGACGGCGTTTACCTGGGTAGACGGGGGACTAGGAGAGGCTTCACAAGAAGCAATGATGTTTGAATTGACTGTTAAGTGAGTAGGAGGTTTTCTGCTGGCTGTGGAGTTGAGGGAGAGAGGATGGGGTGTGGTGAAGATGGCCTGACTTCTAGGCCAAAAGAGCAGAATGTGAAATAGACAGGTGGGCTGGTGATGGCTTGTAAGTAGCAAGATGGTGCTGAGTGGTAGGCCAGGTGGCATGTGGGGGGAAGTAAGGCTGGAGAGGGTATAGGGACAGTAAGTGCAAAGGCTCAGGTGGCCTTCTGAGGAGCTGGCAAGGGAGAGCCATCAATGAGTTTTAAGCTTCCAAGGGATATGACAAAACACTCCTGCCTTTGGTGGTTGCTGGTGATGAGATGCAGGAGGGCGAGCAGTAAGGAGATGACCGCAGTCATCCAGGTGAGAAATTGTATGGCCTAAAGCGAGACAGAGCAGCTTTGATAAAGGGGCATATCTAAGAGCTGTTAAGAAGGCATCCACAGACATCCTAGATGGGGTGTGGGGATGAAGAGGGGAGCTTCGTGTAGGGTGATGGTGTAGATGCTTTTTGATGCCCAGGCCAGCTCTCCTCTAGGGGGCCACCCTCCAAAATGCCATGAGGGCCGGCTGCTGACAATGTACTGCTGCACCCATTTTTTGAGAATTGCCCTGGACCAATGGGAGTCCCATTGCTGGAAATGCTTGGGAGATGACACACCTCCACCACGGCAGCCCATGGCCAATGACTGACCAATGCAAGTGTACAAAAATTGGGCCCCCTTACCTCCATGTGAGCCACCCTGCGGTACCACTTATGCTCCTGAGCTTCCTGGGGGATCCAGTTGAGGATTCTAGACTTCAGTTGAACTCAGTTTTGCTTGGCTTCTTCCCTTGAATTTTCTCAGTCACTCACTAACTTCCCACCTCAGGTTTAGGGGTGGGGATGGACACTGGTGTGCTACTGCAAGCTGGGGGATGAGGAGAAGGCCCACTTCCAGCAAGTCTATTAATGGAAAGTGCAGCATGAATTTCCCCCTGTTCATGGAGCTTGGAAGAAGAAAGTACCCTCTGGGGTATGTTTATACCATGTAGGTCTCTGACCAAATGCTAATGGATGGTTTAATCTTTGGCAGTTTGAGCCGATGGAGAAATGTGCCCATCGGTGACGCCAGCTCCTGTGTGGCACTGCCTCCAGCGGGTCCTGGTTTAGCCATTTGCTAGCTGTGTGACATTGGACTTAGTTACCTAGCCTCTCTGAAGCTTACATTCCTGATCCCCTGGGAGAAACAACAGCGTTTATCTTATGTGATAATTGTGATAATTAAATCAGATAATACATGTTTGTGGTTACAGTGCAGTCCTGAATTCTGTAAGTGCAAAAAACGGTTACTGCTACAATGAACAACACAATGCTATGTGACAACAGTGATGCTTATTCGTGATTGTAAACTTCTGACACTTCTGTTTACCTCATCGAAGTCGGCGATGATCTCATTCAGCAGGCGTAGGCATTCCACTCCTTGGTTATTCATTTCAGTCTGAGAGTAAAAGTCTGCAAACCCTGGGATGGAGGCAAACATCACCCCAACGGCATCATAGGACTGGGAATACAGCTCCTGGACAGAGAGACACACAGAGGGAGCCAGAAACAGTCATCAGAGGCGAGGTTCTGCAATGATGCTCCTGTGTGTGTGTGTGTGTGCGCGCACCTGCATCCATGCACAGGTACCCACAGAGAGGACAGAAAACGGGGGCTCTGACACCATCTCGTCAACACCTTAGCATCATCACCACATGGATTGGGACCATTGAGAACTCATGGTCTCCAGCCTCAGTTGATCCCAAAGTTCCACCCATCATTTTGTCCTTGGTCAGCTTCCTTTTCTGTTCTCTTCAGTGGCTAGTCCAAACCCTCACTGCTCTCCTTAACTCCACTCTCCACTCGATTCCTCTTGTTAGATGAGCTTGTCTCTTATAATAAAGAGAACACGGAGACTCTCATGTTCCGTACTCATACAGTCGGCTAGTTCATGTGTATTTCCAGTTCTTCTGCTTCAATGCCAGACAATGCACTTTCCTTTGTCCGGGTGCAGATCAATGCTTCTTCCAGATCTCTTGATCCTCCTCTAACTTCTTCAGCAATGTACTCCTACCGTGATGCCTTCCTTTCTTCTTTTTTTCTTCTCTCCCCCTCACTTCTTCTAAGTGTCTCCTACAAGAAAAAGTACAAGGCGCCCTGGATCCTGCAGACACCTGAAACTGCGGACCAGTCTCTCCTTATCTTCTTCCAAATTTCCAAACTAGTGTTCCCCGCTCTCTCAATGTCCATTCACATCTCAGGCTAAAATGAAACAAACCTACAGCAGATCAGACTGCCAGCCAAAATGGGAAAGTCACTACCCAAATACCTGTCTCTGTCTTCCTGGACACCTCTGCAGACCGTGTGGTGACCACGCCCAAGATCACGAGGCTCCTGACTTTCTATGCTTTAGTGATACTATGTCTGTTTTCCTTGTGCTTGGTCCCATAATGGATTTATTTTTTGCTTACCTACTATCTTAAATGTTAGCGATTGCTATGGTTCTGTCCTTGACCCCCTGCATGGTTCGAAGTTTACATACTTCCCTGGGCTGTCTCGTTTGCTCTCAGCCTTTCACCAACATTCACATGTGAGTCTCTAAAATCCTATTTCCAAGTCAGTTCTCCTTGGGCTTCAAGCTTCTGGGCCTCATGCTGGGCTGCCCTCGCCCTCCTTAAATTATAAATACTGCACCTGTATCTTTCCTCTGCATCTAATTCTGTTTCTGATCCTTCATTCTCTGCCTCAGTCGGTGGCACCGGCATTGACAAGTCATCAAACTTAGAGAGCCTCAGCGTCAACCTTGGTGCCTTCTTCCCTATCACATCCAGCTTCAGCGCTTTGCCAAGTCCATCTGGGTTTCTTTTTGTCTCCTAACTATTTCTGTTGTAACTCTTTGCTTTTTATCAGGCTCTTCCTGTTTTCCTCTTTGGCCACTAATCTGCGTACCTCTTGCTGGGGTCCCTGACTCCAGTCTTGTCCCATCCAAATGCATGTTCCATATGGCAGCCAGAGTGATATTTCAAAGATCCAATATTGACCATGCCTCTCCCATTCTTAACGCCCTCCAGTGTCCTGCCCTCAGGACAAAACGCATGTCTATCTCTTCAGCCTCATGGGCTGCACTTCCCTGTGTTGGACCTTGTGTCCCAGAAGCACCGAAGGATCTGTACTTCTGTGTGCCCACTGCAGCGGATACTGCAGGTGTCCTGCCTGCATTCTCTTTCCAAGGTCCAGCAGCCAGCCAGCCCTGGAGTTTCTTCGCACGGAGTTTTTCTCTGGCCACCAGAGGGCGCTCTGCCCACGTGGGAGCTGCAGGCTGAAATCTCCAGAAAATTAACGCCCCCTCAAGAGCCGCTCTCAACCAATGACTGATGGGAGCGGGCGTGGAGTCCTCATGCGCTTCCCCCCTTGGGCCAGATAACCCTGAGCTATGCTTTCTACACCGTTTCCCCGAGTTCCCCAGTGGGATTCAGCTCCCGTCGCCCATAGAGCGATAAACCTCACTGATGGGTTCTCTTCCTTTCCCTACCTTCCGTCCCACTCCCCTGCCTACCTGGGTGGGCTTCCTGGGACCACCTCCAAGCAAATTAGTTGCACTCAAATCCTTGTCTCAAGCTACATTTCTGAAAGAAGCCAGACAACGACACACATGCTCTCCTGTGTCACACTTCAATGCTTTCATTCTTACTGTTCGTCCCTTGAGGGGACATGTCCTTCCTCCCCTGCAGTTAGCGTCCCTAACCAGCCAGACTCCTGTCTTCTGCCTTCACTATCCACGAGACAGAGCTGCACTGATCTGACTTTTCCATCCACCCAGCTGCAGGCAGGGAACCTGCAGAGTGGTGGGTCTCCACCTACATGGGGGGCCAGGAAGGGGGTTCTGTACTACCGGGCTTGCCACGTGGGAGGAGAAAGCTTATTTATCTTGGGCAAAACAGGTCCCAGAGGAAATAAGAGACTGAGGAACTCATGAGCCACTGGCACAGTGGCTCAATGACTCTGGTCCCCCTAGTCATACCTACTCCGGTGGGGAAGATAGAGTAAGGGATGTGAAAACTCCCTCCCTTATATTTCCCCAGAGGTAGAAGGTATCACAGGAAGTTCGAGTTGGGAATGTGGGAAGAGAGGAGAGGACGACCCCACAGACCCAGCCCTGTGACTTTGGCCAAGGGAGGTGAGTTCTCTGCCCCAGGTTCCTCAGCTATAAAAGGAGATGCTCACTCCTGCTCTGCTTTTGCCCTTGGTTTCCCTGAGATGCTCTGCACGAAGTTGTCCCTTGACCCTCAGCACCATGGTCAGCGCTGGTTGCTTCCTCCTGGTGGCGTGGCTCCTGCCAAGCAGCCTTCTCCTAGGACTTCCACTCTCGCTGGTCCCAGTAACTGCCTTACCCATCGTCCCTTTGGGCCTGTGTTGATACCAACTTCCCAAAACTGTTGACTCCACGAGGCTTTACTGTCCCTTCTTTATCCTTGTTGCTTCCATTAGGGACCCGACAGAAAAGAGGAGGGCACATTTAAATTTAAGTAATTCAAGGAGGGTAATCTACAAAGGGCTTAAATAGAAAGATGAAGGCAGAGTATAGGGAACCCCTAAGAAACCCCTCAGGAACCCAGGGCTAGTGGCAGTAGAGCTGCCAACCTCCTGGGCTCAAAGGGATGGGAAGACCCCCAAGACAAGGGAGCTGATTTGACACTGGAGGCAGCCTAGCAGCGGCCTTGAGATGAGAGGAGCTGTCAACTTCTGTGGCGGGACACAGCCAGCCTCAGATGACCCCAAGGGAGGGAAGCAAAGGAATAACACCCTGGCCTCCTTCTCCTTCCCGCTCCCTCTGATCTCCTACCCAGTGTCTCTCCATGACGACCCTCAGCTGGTGTCAGAGGGCAGGCGAGGTCACTGACGTGGCCCATGCAGGTTGTCCCCTCCCCTCCAAGAGAGCAGGGAGAAGAGGGAGAGGGGGCTTGAAGGGGCACATGGGAGAGCTCCAGCCACCTGTCCACACCTTTAGAGGTGTCCTCGTCTCTCAACCTGCTCCAGTCAACCGCTTTGAGTGTGCCATCTGTTTCTTTCTATTTGGGGTTCAAAGAAGATAAAAACACTGCACACTGGGGAGGGACTGATGAGTATAGAAAAGCTATTATTGTTTTGTTGTCATCCTCTTCTGGCTGGATGTACAGTTTTGGGCTTTGCAGAGGATTTTGAACATATGCACACTCCCCTCTGCTCCCGCCCGGAAGCCAAGATGAAGACTTTGGTCTCCTCTTTGCCTAGGAAACCAGAAGCCAGTCCTCCAAGGGCCCTGCCTGTCTGATTCCAAGTCCTGTGTGTCTTATGCTAAGTGAAGCCACCTCTCTGTAGGGGAGAAGGAATGACTGAGACCTGCTGGCCTCAGGTCTCCGTTCAAACGTCATTTCCTTGGAGAGACCTTCCATCACCCTCCAGTGTAAGGCCCTCTTTCAAACGTGCTATTTAGCTTCTTCTACCTGCATAGAACTTATCACTACCAGGCTCTAGCTTATAAATTTATTCGTTTTAATGTCTGTTTCCCCATGAGAACGCATGCCTCATATGAGAAAGGACTTTGCCTTCTTTGTTCACTGTTTGGACTCCAGGATCTGGAATAACACCTGGCACATGGCTGTCCCTCATGATGAATGTCTGAAGAGTGGGTGGGAGGTGGGGCCACGGTCAGGAAGGAGTGGAACAAGTAATGAAGGCTCATGTTTATCAAAAATAGCCAGAGGGCTTGGAAAATGTGCCAAGTACCACTTAAGCCTTTTATGCATAATAAACTCATGTAAATGTAACATAATGCTGGGAAGTACTGTAACTTGGAGATGAGGAAAATAAGGTTCAGAGAGGTTCACCACTTGTTCACAGTCACGGAGTCATGAGGGGAAGAGCTGGGATTCAATCCAAGGCATAGGCTTCCAAGTGCACCCTATGGCTTTTCTACACTGAGCCCGCCTTGCAGCATCGGGCACTTCCTGTGCTCTTACCCAGTTTAGTTCTCACACCAACTCAGCAGCTCCAAGCCCCTCATGCCCTTCTCCCTGCTCACTTGGAGGGGAAGGGGGACGACCTGCATCGGTTGGATGACAAAATGGACTGAGAGAGGTTGAGTATGCTGCCCTAGGTCACACAGCTGGTTAGTGGAAGAGATGGAATTCGGGCTGCAGGGACTGTCTAGCACCAGAGAAAGCTGCCCTTGTCGCTGTCTCTTCAGCAGGTCTTAATAAAGCCAGGACGAGCGAGTGGGTTTCTTGGGACTCAGCAATAGCCTGCCTGCCACGGATGACCCAGCCCAGCTGGCCCTACCAGCAGGAAAGTCCCTGCCTAGGGTGGTGAGTGCTATTCTAAGCCGAAAGCCCAGTGGAACAGCAGAAGCTGCCAGGGCCTCTGTGTGGGTGATGCAGCCGTAACAGACTCGGACGGGATGTTCCAGAGGGCGAGGCTCTGTCCACCACCCTCTGGATGGTTTGAGCCGTCGCTGGCCGCTGCTCCTCTTTTTCTCCCACTCCTGCCCTAACAGCAAAGTGGAGGAGAAAAAAACCCAAAATTTGGCTTTGAAGCTCGAATTCCAGCTCACTAAGCTTTGTGACCTTGGGCAAGTTCCTTCACTTCTCTGAGCCTCAGCTGCTTCCTCAATGAAGTAAGGATAATCATTCTTACCTCCTTGGTGCCCGCATCCGTGAGCACTGCTGCCCCTTGAAAGCTGGGACTGCAATTCACAAATATCCCCGTCAGATATTCAAAGGTTTGTGTCACAGTTCAGATTTGTAGCAAGAGGAGAAGCTGAAAATGCCTCTCATGGAAACAGAGCATGAAATTGGGAGTCCTTGCAGGTCGCAGCAGTCCTGCTTCTGCCTATCACCCCTTCCCATGGGGCACTACTCGGTCTGTGTCTCTTACACACACACACACACACACACACACACACACACAGACACATACACACATGCCTAGGTCTTGCCAAACTCCTGGGGCAGCACAGATGGAAGAAATCCGATAGCCTGGATGTGAGTTTACCTAAATAAAGGCACGTCATGGACCTCTCTGAGCCCCAGTTTCCTCATCACTAACTTGGGGCTGTTAATAGAATGCAAGATCATTTCCATCAGTTGCCTATCTCAGTGCTTGGTGCACAGGAGGCGTGCTGTCCATGGCATTGCCTCATAATATGGAAATTCTGTGGTTATGCCTAGCTGAGTGTGACCTGTTTAAACATTTATAAAACCTCAGATAAGCATGACACGGCGTTCTATTGAAAATGTCTTACACGTAGGATGAAGGCTCAACCTGACATTTATTTTTCTCAGTCAGGGTTTGACTTGAATAACAGCCAATGACCTGGAGTCTTGGCATCTCTGGTTGGTCTCCTTCCTTTTCAGGATGAAGCCAGTTCGTTCCTGCTCTTCCCCACTGGTCCTAAATACCTCCTTGTTTTGGTATGTTGATTGAAAAGCAGCTTTCCTTTCATTTCTTTGTGGGTTTTCCCTCAGAGGGCTCCAGTGTTTCATCTGCTCCTTCTGGTGGTTGTGGTTGATGCATATCAAAATTCTCCCTCTTTTTTGGCTTTGGCAAGAAGCCCTTTCAACAAAGCCCCTGACTTTAAGGAGCCTTAGGGAAACCAGGCCTGAACCCAGTTCCAGAGAACTCCATCTGTTGAGGGTGTTTGGTGCCTTGATCTGCATCCAAGAGACTCTCAAGGGCCTGAGCTCATCAAGAACCGATCATTCAAGCAGCAGATGACTCATCCCCACAGCTTCTCTCCTGTTGGTCTTTCTTTTTTTTTTTCAGAAGCTTGGATGGAAAATGGACCCTGTAGGTCTCTCCCAGTTCTACCCTAAGGCAAGGGTCACAAACCCAGATGTCCTCAGAGGACCAGCAGGTAACATAGTGTCAGGATATGGGTGGGTCAACTGGAAAGCCCATTCCATGCCTAAAGGCATCAAATCCACACATCTAACGAAATAAGCAAACCAACCAACGAGCTGACCGCTGTCCCAGACTGTTGGCTTGCCGGTCAGATTTGTCTCAGAGTCACCCAATTTGTGATCTATGTTCTCTGGATTTCTCCTCCCCTGTTTAGCTCAGTTTGAAAGATCTATATTGGAAGGGTTGTCCTAGTGTGGTCTTCTAGACAAACCACCTTGCCTTCGTAGCATCCTTGCCAAAGATTTCCCTCTCCCCACTTGAGTGCTTCAGCAAGGGAACTCACCATTCCAGTTCACTCACAAGCCTTTAATGAGCAGGACCACAGGGTGGGCACATTGGGCCCTAAGGGTCACTGATGACCAAGGTTGGTGTGGTCCCTGCCCTTGTGGGTCTCCCAGTCTTGTGGGGATGAGGCAGCCTGTTGGTTCCATCATCACAAGGTTCCTCTTAACACACAGCACAGTGTCCCCTGTGGACAGTTGACAGTCCTGGGTCTCCCCCCTGGAGTCTTACAGAGGAAGGTCAATCCCTCTCATGGGATAACCCTTCAGGTATTTAAAGGTATCTTTCACTTTCCTCTCGAGTTACCTTTTTCTGGATGGTTAGAGGGTGAACCAGATGGTTTTATTTTTTATTTTTTCATTTTTCACCACATCTACTCCATTAGCAAATCCCATTGATTCCAGCTGGTAAAATTCCCTGGAATTCATCCGCTTCTCCCCACCTCCACTGCCATCATCCCAGGTCTCCTCACCGGGCCATTTCCTGGGCTATTTTAGGGTCTCCTAACTGGCTTCTGATCTTGTGACCCTCCTACCCACTCTCTACCAGCAGCCAATCTGATTAGGTTACACTTAAACCTTCCAAAGGGTCTGATTGCACTTAAAAGTTGGCCTGGGTTTTCCGCACATCACTCACTCACCACCCCTCGCCCTTGGAATGTGTCGAATAGGGTACTCCCCAAATTCATGTCCACCAGGAACCTCAGAACGTGCCCTTATTCGAAAATAGGGTTTTTGCAAATGTCATTAGGTTAAGATGAGGTCATACTGGATAAAGAGTGCTCCAGATCTAATGTCTGGTGTCCTTCTAAGAAGACAAGAGGACACACGTCCTTATAAGGAGGGAGAAGGCCACATGGCCAAGGCAGAGATCAGAGTGACGTGGCCGTGGAATTCTCCCAGAGCTTGGGATCGATGTGCCCAGCTGTGCGCCTGCCATGGCCACCCTTCCTCGGGGACCAGACCAGCCTGGCTCACCTCGTTGTCCCGGTCCTTCTCCAGGAAGTGGCGGGCCACGTGGCTGGGCAGGATGTTCCGCAGCATGTTCTCGTTGTGCTCCCTCAGCTCCTTCATCTCGTTGATCTCCTCTTTGGCCTGCACTCGCCAAAGGAAGTCCAGGCGGGCGGTGTATTCCAGCTGCAGTTCAGGAGAGAAGGGGAAGGCCGGGCTTCAGGCACGCACATGCGGGAGGTGGGGAAGGCGTCTCCTGAGCCCTTCGCAAGCGATAGAGGGCCTGAGATGAACGTTTTTGGGGGGGGCCTTTTGCCTGACATTAAGAGATCGGAGGCTGACCAAATTTCACAGGGCTGTGTACCCGCTCCCCTCCTCCCCCGCCCTTCCCAGCATTGTGGCACCTATGATTCTGTAATTGTTTGTGTGATTGTCTGATAATGTCTGTGTCCTCTACCGTATTGTAGGTGCTACAAGGTCAGCTTTCACCAGCTCAACATTACATCCTCACCACGTAGCAACGTGCCTGGCACAGGGCAGGTGTTCAATCAGTATTTGTTGACTCAACAAATAAGTTATAATAATGCAGCCAGCTAACGCGTAAATGGTGCTCATTGTGCCGCAGGCCTCTTCTAAGGAATACACGTATATTAACTCCTTTCATCTGCACGACAACCTTATTATTATTATTATCAGTTCTTATTTTACAGATGAGAAAATTGAAGCAAACATGGTTAAGTCACTTGACCAAAGTCACACATGAGTTAGTGGGGAAGCCAAGATTGGAGCTTAACTCCAGAGGACAGTTCCAGAGTCTGAGCTCAATCACCAGGCAATAAGGAAGAAATGAATGGCTAATAATGGAAAGGTTGGGGATTTAGTTGGGAGACGAATACGGCTTAGCATCCTGGTCTCACATTTAAACACTGTAACTTGGACTAGTGACTTCATCTCAGTTTCCTCATCTCTAAAATTGGGATGAACTCTCATGACCATGCAAAATTGGAACAGAAATTATTTCCAATGTTACAGGGAGACCACGTGACTCATAGCAGGTGCTCAATACACATTAGTTCCCTCTCGTCCTACCTTCCCTTTGCATTGGAAAGGGGACAGCTTCCTTCCTAAAGAGACTCACAAACCATATTTACCACAGCTTTGGGGATGTCTTTATTTCAAAGTCCTTAACTGCCGAAATGAACAACATGCACCATTAAACACATGGTTAGATGCCCTGAATTCACGGGCTTAACTTCAACTAGTTCATTTCTTTGTCTTATGTGAAAGTCTCAGAGGATGGTAAAAAATAGAAAAAGAGAGAGGTGCAAGGTTATTCATTCAGCAGAATTTGTAATAGCAAATGCTGGAAGCAATCCAAGCGTTCATTCTGCTGGTTGAATAAGCTATTATATACAGCCTATAAAAAATGAAGACTATTTCTCCATGTGTACTTTGACGGTTGGTCTCCAAGGTGAAGAAACACATGTATAGTATGATGCCATTGACCTAAGGAAAGAAGATAAGACATCTCTCTGTACACACATATATATGTAAATATTTCTTTATTTATTGAAAAATTGAAGCATAAAAATAAAAAGTAAAAAGCCATAGAAAATTATTACTGATGAGATGAGGGAGGGAGGGAATAAGGTGGAGGAAGATGGATAGAATTTAAACACTAAAAATTGTATGTTGTTCTATAAACCTGACTTTTCAACCATGGATGTATTTTACTTAATTACAAAACTAAATGGATTTTTTAAAAGCTCTGTGAAAACAAACAAATGAAACTACGTGGACAACTACACACAGAAACGATTCCAAATGCCTTTTAACACAAGAATTTGATGGCACATTTGTAGAGGGACATACTCTAAGGATAAAAAGAGCTCAAAAAGGACCTTAAAACTGTTTAGAACAATCACCTTGTGGGTGGTAGTGTTTGTATTATCATTGTTAGACTATCATATCTGAATTGTAGGATAAAGCAAATGGGTAATTGTGTTGGTGTTACTGAGAACTTGAATTTTGAGCAAGGGAAAAAGGCGATGCAGACACAAGATTGACAAGGCTGAGGCACAAGTCTTTGATCCTATGAAAACTGGAAAGTATCACTATGAACTTATGACTTATGTCAATTTCCTGGCTCTGTCTACTGAAATCAAGGCCCAGAAACAATGAAAACCTAGTAGCAAAGAACAGTCCCAGGGTTCAGATTCTGGTTTCAAAATATCAATTCCAACAAAAATGACCTTGCACTTTTTGCAGAAAAGGCTGAAACTTAGGGAAGAAAATGTGCAAGCATGGAAAATCATTTTACAGCAGAAAGCAAGTAGACCACCAGAGACAGCTGGGGATTATGTCGTAAGGAATGTGCTCTGACTCATCAAAGATGTGATAAGTTGAACTTTAATAAGTAATCATTGAAATGGATCAAAACACAAGAAATAGGTTAAAATGCGTAAGTTCATAATGACGCTTAAAAAGCAAAAGCTCGCTGATCACATCTGGATGATGCTTGGGAACAAACTTATTGGGAAACTTGGAACAAATTTATAGGGAAAGAGTTAAGCAATTACCCTGCCTTTGCCTTATGAGCTGTACTTGGAGGTAACAACTAGTTGGCGAGGAAAAGGTTCTCGTTAAAAATGCACTGCAGCTAACAAATTGTGAAGTATTGATAGGATTGGAACATCACCACTCATGAAATAAATGAATGGAGGCTATTATTATATATTATCTACTATATAATATATATTACATTATTATAGCTGCTAATATCACAAAAAGAGAGACAAGCAGACATTGCATGTCTTTTAATAGTAGTTCATGAAATCAACCAATTAAATATTTTTGCAGAGAAAACTTGAGCTTCAATCTCAACAAGTTGCTAGACGAAACTACCGATACAGGAAAAACAAAGGACAGAGGAATGTATTAAATACCCATAGAGGATGCAATAAAAAAACTCTAGGAAGAGAGACATTCTAGAGGTCAGACAGCTCTCACAAAATATTGCAAGAAAAAAAAAAGATGGAGGGTGATCCTATAGATTAAAAGAGAATTAAGAGACATATCAACCAATGGCAACATATAGACTTAAGTCAGATCCTAATTTAAACTTGAAAAAATAAACTAATTTGGTAATTGAAACACTGCCTAAAGATTTGGAGATATTAAAGAATTACTGTTTTATTTTTTAGATGTGTTAGCAGTACTGTGATTAGGCTAAGATTCTCTTTTAGATGCATATTGAAATATTTATAGAAGGAACCCTACTTCAAAATGACACCTGCACCCCAAAGTTCATAGCAGCATTATTTATAATAGCCAAGACATGGAAACAGCCTAAATGTCCATCAACAGATGACTGGATAAAGATGTGGTATATTTATACAATGGAATGCTATTCAGCCATGAAAACCGACAACATAACACCATTTGCAGCAACATGAGTATTCCTGGAGAATGTCATTCTAAGTGAAGTAAGCCAGAAAGAGAAAGAAAAATACCATATGAGATCACTCATATGAGGAATCTTAAAAAAAAAAGAACATAAATACAAAACAGAAACAGACTCCTAGACATAGAATACAATCTTGTGGTTGCCAAGGGGGTGGGGGGTGGGAAGGGACAGACTGGGACTTCAAAATGTAGAATAGACAAACAAGATTATACTATATAGCACAAGGAAATATATACAAGATCTTGTGGTAGCTCACAGTGAAAAAAAATGTGACAATGAATATATGTATGTTTATATATAACTGAAAAATTGCTCTACACTGGAACTTGACACAACATTGTAAAATGACTATAACTCAATAAAAAATGTTTAAAAAAGAGAAATATTTACAGACAAAATGATAAGACATTTGGAATTTGTTGCAAAACAATTAGGGAGCAGCAGTAAGAAAAATAAATAGGGATATAGATGGAACAAGACAGGACATGAGTTGATGGCTGTCAAAGCTGTGATTCATTATATAGACTTTTGTATATGTTCAAAATTTTACATAAGAATAAATTTTAAAAAATGTAAGTGGTGCAGCAGGTTGTACAAAAGAATGCTAGTCCCGACTGTTTTACCAAGTTGCTATGTGACCTTGGGAAATTCATTCAACTTCTCGTATTTTGATTCCCCTTCTAAAAGATGAGAATAATTGCCTTTATCTCATCTAATTCAGGAGACATGGATTATCATATGATCTATTGTACAGACCAAGTGACATGATGCATGCAAAAGAATTCTGAAATGGCTAAGATGTAGATTTATTGGGTATTACTATAATTTAAGGCACCTGTGGAGGACATCAGATCAAAGGTATACTTAATTTTTTTTCCTTCCAGACTGAAAAGCATCTAATTTTGATTTGTCAAGTTGCAGGCCAGGATTTTATCCATGAGCTTTTCCAAATGAAATGTTTTGTTTCCACCTTTCAAAATGCATGACTGATCGAAGCAAGAGAAACATTTTTATTTCCTTCCTGTTGAAATACTCTCATCTAATTGAATTTAAATCAGAAATATGAGTAGGGAAATCTGGAGTTGACTTAAGCAAGAATTTTCCAGTTGCAAGACAAGAACATCCTTTAAATTTTGACCAGGTGACTGCAGATCACTGCATCTAAGGCATATTCATAGATACTTCAGTCCCGGTGCAGTCCTGTCTTTTGACAAAGCAAGTCTCGTGAAGGCAAGCATCACATATTATTAGACCTCCATAGAAGGAAAGTATTCCTCTTCAGTTTACAAAGATGTGATGTACCTACTATGTGCCAAGGGCTGGGCATACGAAGATGCGTGAAACAATCTCTGTCTTTGTCAGCTGAGTGGTGACAGGAGCACACAAAAAACAAAGAGATCATTTCAACACAGTATGGTTAGAGCAGATATGCAGAGAAGAGCAAAGCAAAATGAAGGCATGGACACTGAGTTTTTAAAACTGAAAATTCTTCAGCATTTGCTCAAGAAATGTCAGTTGATATGGAAGTGCACTCTCTGATTTTGACCAAACCCTTCAGAAGCTGGCTATATCTATGAAAAGTACCCCGGGGAATTCTACCAAACATGCAAAGAAGAACTCATACCAGTCCTTCTCAAAGTCTTCCAGAAGATTGAAAAGGAAGGAATACTCCCAAACTCATTCTATGAAGCCACCATCACCCTGATACCAAAACCAGGCA